AATCTGAAAAGCACTCTTTATTTCTTGTTTTAATTTCCACTTAAATCAGACCTGTGCAAATTCTGACCCATTGCTCATATATGAGAAAGGACCTGATAAAACTCCTAGTTTTACTGCTTTCCTGGAGCAGCAACCAAATCCATGCCAACTCAAGGACCTAGCAGGCCACATTACAGGCTCCAGGCACTATACTAATATAGATGGCAGAGCTTCAGGGTAATGTGCAGGTTTTTGTCCTCCCACCTTGGGACTGCTCACCCTTGACGAGCTCCAGGGATACATAGGCCTTGGTGCTCTTTATGTATTCATTCCAGCGACACTTGAAATGACTCAGGGTCAGATGAGACATGGCAGGACAGCTGCATATGTTGCTCTGTTCATATATAAAGCTGCGGTGGGGGGGTTGTCTACATTAAATGGAGTGTGCAGGTAGAGGAGGGAGACCATATCCTATCACCTGTCCTTCTTATCTCACAGATCTGAGCTGGGAGGGAAATGGACAGAAATGAAAGAAAGTCAAGGACTTTCACTCCCCTCTTCTCCCTTTCTCTTTCCCATGCCTTTCATCTGCATTTTCAAAAATAGATCCCTGCCCACCCCCCGCCCTTTAAATGTGAGTCAGGAGGATAGGTACATAGAATCATAGATTGGCAAAGTTGGAAGAATCCAAGAAGGCTATCCCTGCTGTTGCAGGACATCAAGTTACAGCATCCCACTCAGATGGCTGCCCAGTTTCTTTCTGAATGTCTCTAGTGTGGGAAAGCCCACCACCCCTCTAGGCAACTATCGTATTGCTCTGACAGTTAGGAAACTTTTCCTGATAGCCTTTTTCTAGTTACGACTTGGGTTGATTATTCCATGTTCTGCAGTATGGGATCAGTGAGAAAGGAACTTGTCCTTCCTCTTTGTGACAGATACTTATAGAGTGATATCATAGGACAATGTTTCCAAATACTGGGTCATTTCTGTTGTCCTCCTCTGAATCCTTTCCAGTGTTTCTGCATCTTCCTTAAATGTTGTTGCACAGAATTGAATGCAGTATTTCAGGTGAAGTCTGACTAGTATAGTGTATAGGAGAACTATATGTGGCTGTCCTTTCAGGTTTAGCCTGACCCCTTCTCAGGCTCCCAGTATCCAACTTCTTGGCCTGGCTTTACTGTAGTTTTCCCCCATCTTGGCTAGGCCAATATGGGGCAAGGCTATTCTGTTTTGGAATGGGCTAAAGTGAGATCAGTTGGAACCTCTGGACTGAACAGTCATCTGCTCCATGAGGTATCAAATCTGCCCTTCCAGACGTTTGCTGAGATGCAAATGGTACAGAGTAAGGATTTAAAACTGACAGATATGATTTACTGCTGGTGGTGATTCAAAGCGGCTTTGGATGCTTTGTGGGGATGTTATTAGCCACAGGGAGGTTTGTCATATGTGCAGCAATTGTCTCTTTGGCTTGAACCCTTCCATGCTGGAAACTTCCTCCTCTTAATTCCCAGACATTCTCCTGTGTAACATTTTGGGCAAACTATCAAAGACTTTTGCACTGGTGGTGACGGGTTCAGGCAAGGTTTTATCAGCCAGGCAAAGAAAGATTTAGTTGCTTTACAGACCAGAAGCACTGACTTTCCCAGCTTTCATTAAGAGCAGCAAAACAAAACAAGCATAAACTGGCACAGATTACAGGTGACAGGAGACTTGCTTGTCTAAGCAAGTGCAGCTACATTATTTGAATTACAATAGCATTTAAACAGTCTTTTTTAACTAAAGGCCAAGGCAATCATGACTGGATCAGCAATAAATATTTTGGTGCTACTCTCAGCTTTTTTAAAAATAATGCATATGTGCCCGCTCTTCATTTGATGTAGAAGGCGAATGCACCTTTTCTAAAGGTGTTGTAGGGATATGACATTTTCATATGACACAAACAGCAAGGGAAGAGGCCATATCTCAGTGATAAAACACTGCTTTGCATGCAGAAGGCTCAATTTCAGGTTCAGACACTTCAGTCCCTGGTCCGTATAGTGCTAAGAAGGACATTTTGTCTGAAAGCAGCTGCTAGTCAGTGTCCGCATTACTAGGTTCCACTAGATGTGTCGAACATCTCTGATCAAACGTATGTCAGCTTTCTCCATTCTGATGCCTACCAGTTCCAGGGCTGCTGAGAGATGTACTCCAAAACACATGGAGTGACCAGTTGGAAAAAGCTGTAGTATCATTTCATATATTCATATTTTTGTACATTTTATAGCTCTGAAAAGCAGCCTATCCTCACCTCTAGCATCATCATTACAGTGTCCAGCTCTGCATGGCATGTGTTTATAAAGCAATTGCAGTCTATTCATGTTTGTTTGTTTACAGCATTTATGTACTGTTTGAGATCTAGGGAGATTCTGGAACAATAAACAAATACAAATTAAAAACAATGCATTGAGGGCAGGTTAACATTAAAGCTGTGGTGAAGCGTGGAAGGCCTCCTAGAACAAAAATGTCTTTAGTGGGTACCACAAACAACACAGTGGTGCAGGTTGCCTGACTTCCAGAGGTAGGACGTTCTGTAGAGTAAGAGCTACAACACCAAAGGGGGCACCAGTTGAACCCTAGGTCCATGTGAAACTGCGAGGTGAATGTTCTCTGATGATCTCAGTGTTCAAGCAGGTTGGTAAGGAGGAACTTGGTCCCAAGATTTTAGGAATTTGTCTACCAGTATCAGAAACTTAACCCTGGCCAGGTGTTGTGAATGAGCAGGCAGCATAGATCCCTCTGCAAAGGAGTTGCATGCTAAAAAGGGATTCCTTCCTGATGACTGCTGCATTCAGCACTTCTTCTAAGCTTCTAGAGCAGCCTTAAGGGCAAGCCCACCTAGAACATACTACAGTAAGCCAGTTTTGAAGTTAATGATACCTGTATCATGGTGACTTGTGCAGAAGAGGCTGTAACTGGCGATCCATTCCAATCCAGATGGCAAAAGCACTCTGAGCCACCATGCTTGCTTAGGACTCCCACAAAAGTGATGCATCCAGGAATACCCTTAGATTGCAAACCTGATCTTTCAGAGGGAGTACAAACCTAGCCAGAAACGTTGATGAGCCTGTCTTCTGAACTAATCCCCACAGGGCTTCTCAGCTTCCACGATTCAGCTTCAGTTTATTGGTGTAGTTCAGGGGTCGGCAACCTTTAACACTCAAAGAGCCATTTGGACCTGTTTCCCCACAGAAAACACCGGGAGCCGCAAAACTCTTTTGACATCTAAAATGAAAATAACACTGCATATACCATTTTTTACCTTTATGCTATGTATAAAAAACTAAAGTGTGTTGCATTTACGAAACAGATTGGGGGCTGTGCTGTGCCGGCGCGGGTTGCAGATCGGGGGCTGTGCTGTGCCGGCACAGGTTGTAGATCAGGGGCTGTGCTGTGCTGGTGCGGATTGCAGATCGGGGGCTGTGCTGTGCCGGCGCGGGTCGCAGATCAGGGAGGGCTGTGACATGTATTTTGAGCGACGGAGCTGCAGCAGAGGGATTCAAGGGCCATGTGCGGCTACGGAGCCAGGCGTTGCTGACCCCTGGTCTAGTTTAAATTATTGTGTCAGGGTGATCCCAGGGTGTGTTATGCAAATAGGCAGTTCTTTTGCAGAGATGAGCCAGTGCAGCAAGGTAAACACCATTTAATTTGTGATCCAAGCTCTTCAGCACATGGGTGGACCACTTCTGCCTCTCCTTGTTTTTGGCCTCTCTTCTCCTTGTTTTAACCTGTGATTCCTGTCAGCTTTCACTATTGGCTATGTTGGTTAGGGAAGATCTATATTATACATATTTTGCCCAGAGCTGACATTTCATTTGAATCAGGCTTGTGTCAGCATTGCAGTGCACACACTCTGTGCACGTATACACACACACACGGGGGTGTTTTTGATGTTTAAAAGGTAGTTGTTTTTTCAGAGTGCTTCAGAATTTGGGTACTCCCATCCAGTATGTCCTTTTTGTGGGTGTGCTTGTGTATCCCTTTGAAAACCAAACTGAAAAGGAGGCAAGCTAAGATTGCAAGATTTAACTGTTTGATCATTTTCACTGTATGTCCAGTTTAGCAGACTTCACAATAAAAAATTGCATTATCTTTTCTTTGTTCGTTTGTTTCAACATAAATGCTTTAAAAAAAACTGTAGACAACTGGTAGCACATTTAGAAGAGACATTCCAACTAGCCCTTGTGATTTAAAACAAAGAATGCTTTTATCTTTAAAGGTATGTTTAAATTAATATGGAAATATATGCAGCTGCAGGGGGTTAATTAACCAATCAGCAGATTAAAATTTACATGGACTCGCATTGACTTACAACATTTCTTGAAATGGGTTAATGACAGGCTCTGTCCTTCTACTGTATTAGCCCATCATTCCAGAAATTTTGCTCTTTAATTTCATTTTTTGCAGACTGTGCTCTCCCCATCTCTGGTTCTGAGGTTCACATTACTCCCACATGGCTCCAAATCAACTATCACCCCACCCCCACTCCAAGCAAGCCCTGGGGGAGGAGAGGAAGATTTGCTAGGACATGAGCATCAAGCTGATGTTGTAAAGAAGGGCTGCGCTTTGGAACAGTTAGGAAGCAGTCAAGGAAACTTCCTCTGTGTACCTCCTCCTCCTTTTTCCCCTCCTTTTCCTCCTCCTGCACCATGCAAATTTCCCCTCAGGAACTCTCTCCATGAAGATATACGGTTGTGTCATTGTTTTGTTTTTACAGTAGAAATAGTGTTATGAAATAGAAGAAGAAAAAGGCCTAGACATCTGTGAAATTTTTGTTCCAATTTTGATATTATAATAGAAATATTGCAGTATTACCTAATGTAATGTAAATACAAAGAAGATGGCTGAGGTCGGGGGGAGGGGACTACCCTACAGCATGGCAACAGACGTTCAAGACAGAGTGGTCAGCCAGCTATAGCAAGTCTGATTATTAATGTCATGTAGACCAGCTTTCCTTTTCTGAACCTCTCTTTTTCTCTTTTCAGCAATGACATGGTAAGGACAGACTTGAAGAAACTTCCAGCTCTTCCAACACAAGCCCTGAAGGAGCACCCATCTCTTGCTTACTGGTAACTTTTCTACTTGTTGAGTAGCATTGGCTCCTATTACTTATTTGTGAGACATTCCTTTGACAAGTCTGTGGGTATATCTACACCAGACTTCTCCAACCTAGCACTCTCCAGATGTGTTGGACTGAATTATTGTTGTATCTTCTCCCAAAGAATCGTGGATAATGTCAATGTCCTGAAGCCTGGGACCCTTGGAAGTGAGGATCTGCATCTGCAGAGATGCATAGTTTATTTTGGGGTTCCTTCCTAGCAGAGGCCCCAGACAAACTGGCTCTTGCCTTGCCAATCCAGAATAAATCCTGGGCTGGATTGATTTTGCTTGATACAGGTCATTCAAAAATCTTGGCCAAGGAATGGGCCTATCACAAATACTGCAGTATGTGCAGCTAACGACTAGGGGGGCTCTGAGTGCCAATCTAAATATTCTTTTAATTGCACATATCTGAGCTACTTACTCAATCCAGAGTAAGCACAATGCAGCCTTGATTCAAAGTGAGAGCATGGACTTCCAGAGGGTGGGGAGCATTAAACTTCCTCCCAATTATCATACTGAAATTATACCCTCCCCGCTCCCCAACAGAGCAGTTAAAGAAAAGAAAGAAACATCTCCATTAACCCTTCCTTCCCTCCCCCCTCCTGGGAATTTTAGGTTGAAAATGGAAAGGGTTAGGGTATCTAAATTGGGTGCATGCATGCTTACTTAAACCAGATGCACATAGTAGACAAGATTACAAAAAAGTTTAGTTTGACCTTGAGTTAGAGATTCCCTGCCATCATGCCTTCATTTTCCACTACTAATTTTTTGGTACAGAGAAACATTTATTCCTCCGCAGGCTTAAGAAGGACATCCCAGATTTAATTGACTACCATGGGAGAATAGGGGTGTGGTCCACTGTTTCTGACCTCTACCACTTTGTGACCTACTGCATGTGGCCAAGTAGAGCCCAAACATTACTCCTTTCCAAACCATGGAATTTTCTTACCCACTTTTTGTCCAGAAGTATCAGCCCTTTTCAGATCATCTACAAAACAAATAAGCAAAGGGTTTGACTGATGTACATATTCAGCTGTTATTGCTTCTCAAGACTGCAAATCCTATGCGAGAGTCCATGGTGGTTGAATAGTCCTGATATTTCCCCTGCCTTTGTACTGTGTTCTGGTTTGGAAGTTCCTGGGCACAGATCTGGGGATTTTCTCAGTCTCTCATCTGTGTGGCTTTGCAAATATTCACTCCTCCTGCCCCAAACCTGCTCCATGCTGTAGTCTTTTATCCTCCTCCCAGGCTGAGAATTAAATCCACTGGCATGTTGGAAGAGATGGCAGCATCCTATTTAAATTCAGAATGCCCTAAGGATAAATCCCTCTGTCTGTCTCTCCCATCCCTTTCATCAGTGCAAATATGAATTAGTTTGGGGAAAATGCCCTTTGATACAGGAGGGACTTCAGCCGCTTGGCTGCTGGTAGTTCTTTCATGTTTTTCTAAAAAGCATTAGGCTCCAAGCCCAGTTGTGGGTGGGAAGTTCTCTTATCTGCAGCTCTTTCAATTTCTTCAAACTTGTAATTTGATGACAGCAAGGGAGTATGATTTTCATGTTGTGGTTTGGGAATCTTTATTTAGTCTGTCCTACGTCACCCCATATTGGAAAGATTGACCCATTTCTCTTGACCAAGGACTAAGTCTGCAAAATTTGCATTCCAGTGGGACAGTGCTACAGAGCATTAACCTGCGAAATTCTGATACATGCTTTTGAGTCGACCAGGAGTTTCTCAAACCATATTTAAAATCCCTACTTGGCACATAACACAGACCTGTAGTGTTTGTGAGACTTTGCCAGGCCTTAGCACATCTGCAGGTAGTATATCTACCAGCAATCATAGCTCTTCATGAAAGCAGCAAATTTCGTAGTTTGGACTTTCAAATGTACTGCCCCGCTGTCTATTTTTGCAGTCATAAAATAGAAGCTTTTAAAAATTTGATGTTCTTGAGATTCTTTTGAGAATATATTCATTGCACAGAATGCTTTAAAAAGCTGAATATATTTTTCAGATGAGTTACTGCCTCCCAAATGTCATATAAGCCTCTGCCTTTTCCATTGCTCATACTTTCCATAATCTTTTGCGGTAAATGTCTAGTCTCTGAGCTTGCAAATTTAGGTTCTGTGTTTTCAGGATGGCACAGTTTTATCCCATGTACGTTTTTGCCTTTTATAAAATCTACACTTCTCAAATCTTGTACACACAAATAGCATGTGGAGGAACTGCATGGCTGAAAAAAAGTCCTGCACATACAAGGCTAGTGTTTTAGGGAGATGGCATGTCCAATTTCCTCACTGAGTGCTAATATCCTATGTGCAAAATGAATTTTTAAATTATTATTTAGAGAAGCATTCCATCATGCTTCTCACTGACAGTGTGAAATAGTATAAGCCAGAAACAAACAGTCTTTTGCTGTCTCGTTTACTGTTCTTGGCGACTAAGTCTACAGTTGCCTGATGACCTGCTAATATTTTTGCCACTTTCTGTGAAAATGAGGGGATATCTCCAAACAGGATGTTTGCAACAATTCACCAAGCCCCATCTGGTTGTGTTGTTGTTGTTTTTCTTTTTCCAAGTATTTTCTGGTAGAATTTGACTAGTCTTCTTGCATAAGAAGAAATAAAGGTTGGAATGAGGAATATGTCCTGTGAATAGGGTCACAAGATAAGGGCACATTTTGAAAGTTCATTGTTTTCTATAGTGTAATAAAACTTCAAATGGATTACATATTGTTAGTTTTACTTCACTGACCAAATTGTTGGCAAATTCATTGTACTCAGAATGTTCTCTTCCTCTGAGGCTTTAGTTTTGTCTTTGGAAACAGCAGTGCAGCACATTGATAAATAAATATAAATCATGTTCAGTATTTTAATATTGAACAATTGCTGTTGTGGGTTGATTATGCTGTTATATCCTACTTGGAAAAAGAAGAACTCCTGATGGAGTTTGGTGAATGGCTGCAAACATCCCAAAAACCCCTCTTTCCCCCTCTCTTTCTCTGTCCTCCTCCAGTTATAGAATATACACAGAATATGCCACTGTAGGATCTGTTACGATGTTTCTTAATGCTAATCCTGTGCAGATTCTTATTGTTTTATTTACTAGCAAATTAGGAGTAGGGAATGCTCACATTTGATTTCAAACATTTTCGTACCCGAAGGGGACAAGGGCAGCAGCATGGGTTAGGAATTGCTGTCGGCAGGTTGTCGTGGGAGTGGAGGCAGTAGTTACGGCCCAGGGTGAGGTGAAGTAGCCATGCAAGAAAGTGGACATGAGAACCAAGTTGCCATGCAGTTTTATCACTGTGCATCTTGCTTAAACATTGCTGGTAAGGAGTGGTTTACTGAAGAGGAAGGATACGCATATGCTCTACAATCTTTCATGTGGTAGCTTGAGATAGTGTGATATAATGATCTTTAGATGGAGATCTAAACCAGAGTTCAAAGTGGGGTTCAGAAGCTGAGTTACAGAAGATCTTAGCCATAGCTAATGTTGGTGCTGTCAAAGTATTTTGATCCTCAGGTTGTTGACATTCATACACAGCCTGTCTTCAGTACAGTCTTTTTCCCTGAAGCACGTATGGGAATGTTTACAAGCTGACAGCTATGCAGGAGCACTTTACTTTTTTTGCACATCAAGGCATTTGCGAACAGAACTTGGATTGAATCATGAACGAGTATAAATGTTACCAGTGTGGGGATAGTTTGGAGCCATTGCCACATTAGCAATTAATCCCAGTGAGTCTGCAGCTGTCATTGCACAGCCCACTGTGTTGCCCCCTCCCCCCAGATGCAGCTGACAAGACAGATAAACATCCATGTAAAGGTTTTCCTGTCCAGCTAAATTCCGTTATTCCTTTGTATGAAAACCAGAAATAAAGTAGGCTTGGAGGCAGAGGAATGCCTGCAGTTACGATGTATCAATTCAAAGATTGTGTCAAACCACCCTTAGTGCAGTCATGATTTGCAAATCCAGTTCTCTTGGTTTTCATTCTCATGGTTTCACATTCTGATTTGATGGCTGATTGCAGACTATAACTTGTCAATTCAAACATCAGGCTGTAGTTAAGCTGCTTTAAACATAGTTGAGTGTGATGTTTGAATTGGATTTTGATGGTTCCTGAGAAGGGGACACAAAGAGAGGAACAGATTATCAGTTTGCATCCCAACACTCTAAAAAAATAACAACCGGGAAACTGAGGACTGCCAGGTTAAAGGTCTTCATTCACATGGAAGAAAGAAATAGTTTTAACTGATTTTACCATAGCCTTTTAATTATTATATTTCATCTGCACCCTTAAAACTCCCATCTGTAAAGTTACTTGGCCAGTGCAGATGTAATGGTGTAAAAGATCAGATGTGGACGTCAGATTCACAGAGTTCCTTCTTCTGTCCAATGAAAATTTTCTTCCTGCTTTCCCTTGCAGACTTTGCTAAGGTTGCAATCTTCACTGCTGGTTTCTTTGGTTCACAGTAACTAGGCTTCTATCTTAACCAGAATTTTGAATCAGGATTTGATCCTGGTTAAGTTAGTAGCTGATTAGTATCAATTATGGTCAGCCTCAGCACAAATATAATAATGACATTACATGAATAAGGGAGGAAGAAATTCACAATGGAGAGGGAGAGTACTGAGGCCTGCATCCCACTCCCTATCTCAGTCATACCAAATTCTGTGTATATGATAGCTTCCCATGTTTCTGTGCTTCTGACTGGGTTTGTTCCTAAGTATATTTGCATAGGATTAGCAATATTACAGCTACATGAGGCCCCTGCAAGACAAAGGAAAGCCAGAAAAGTGTACCAGCATGTGCTTCTGATGCAGACTTCAGTTCAGTTCAAGAGAACCTCTGTCGGTACAGAAGTCCTCTTCCTCTAAATTCCATGTTTAGATATATTTCCATGATTATTTGGCAAAACTGTGATTATGCTGTATCATGAAATAAAAGAGGCGCTACTCTTTTTCCATGTCTTGATACTGGGTTTTAATTTTGCAGCATTTCTTTCTCTATGTATATAGCTGCTCCTGCTTTTATATAAAAATAAAGTTTAAAAATGAATACTGTATCCTCAGTTGACTAGCTTTGTTTTTCTCCTTTCACTCACTTAGTATTTCTAGATGTCTTTTGAGAGATTTCTTAGGCTCATTGCCATCCTTTTCTGAGATGCCTCTTCTACAGTGGAGGTCTTTCACTATTTTTTCAGCTGTGTGTGTTCAAGGTAATAAGATTCTGTTTCTCTTCTTCAAAGTGAGGACCGAGTTATTGAGCATTACAAGAAACTAAATGGCCAGACAAGAGGCCAGGCCATTGTCAAGTAAGTTGGGAAGGGGATTTCTATAGTATGATGACCTTTGTCTCCGTGGCATTGCATGCATTGTGGGTTTGTAAATTCCACACATAATTCCATCTCTTGTCTCTCCAGTAGCATCAGACTGTATTCCTAGATGCCCTGAAGTTCTTCAGAAACTTATTGGGGTTCCTCAATTAGAATATCAGGAATGATACTTTTAAAATCCTTTAGTACCACTAATTTTGTCTGCAGTACCAAATTTCAAAGGAATATTGTGTCTATTCTAAACTACATTCAGTTGAAGTAGGACATTAGTGAATCTCAAAAAAAAAAAAAAAAAGCAAATACATACCTGAAAGCATAGCCCAAAGTCTTCTGCAGCATTCAAGTGTTTCATAGTGAAACACTAGCATTCTTCAACATACAAATTGTTGTTAAAAGAGTCTCCTACAAGCAGAATATTTGAAAACAACTGCCTGGTACCCTCCAGATGTATTGGGCTAGAATTCCCAGTATCCCCAACCTGCAAGGCTGGCTGGGATTTGTAGTCCAAGAATTCTAGAAGGTGCCAGGAGGGGAAAGATTAATTTTAGCATATTCTTTTTCTGATTAGAAATACTCCATGGGGCATCTTTTGCATGTCTTTAATTTAGATTTTATGGAAAGTATTTTGAAAGTGGCACTGTAGCAAATAGTACATTATAGCAGAACAAACCAGTATTTCACAAAAGAGGTTATAAATAATGGCATTAGGTAGCTAGAGGGTTCAGCAAAAACGTAAATTTCTAGCTCCTCTTTAAAATACGTAGCAGTTCATCCTTTTAGTTCTCACCACTCTGTATAATTACTGAAAAATAAAGCATGCTTATGTGTTCTACCTAATACTATGAGTTCACTGATACTGTTCATGCTTAGAAGAATTCATGTCATTCATATCTGCACATGCTAGAAGGGTACCCAAATGTACACAACTTGTCTTTCTTTCTTTGCATAATTCCCTTGCTCATTGGAACTGTGACATCCTGTTTTTTATGCTTCTTTTCACAGTTATATGAGCATTGTAGAATCTCTTCCAACATATGGAGTTCACTATTATGCAGTCAAGGTATGTGCCAACTGAAAAGGTTATATGATTAAGGACACAATCAAGAGGGCAGAGTTCTCCTGATTATGTCCTCGGTGATCGGAAACTCCCAAATTTGGAGGCATCTGATTCCCCAGTGTACAGCAGGAAGAACAGCAGTGGTGTTTTCCGCTTCCCATCCTTTCATCCTGCAGATTTTGCAAGACTGATTTTTTAGGCCATCGAATGAGGCTGCTGCAGAGCGAGAGGGAGGGAGGATGGAAGAATTCCAGGATAACACATAACCTGGTTTCTCCAGGTGCCTCCTCTCCCTGGCCATCTTTTTTCCCTTCCATGATCAAGTTTCTGACCTCAGTGAGGCAGCTGGTATGGATCCCTGCGCACTGACTGCAAGAGGTTTGGGAAGGGGATTGGATCTCTAACTCCCCTTTCCAAGACTGGAGTGCTGTCCTGACCTCAGAAGGATTTGGGGAACAACTCTGTGGTCCCTGGAAGCACAGAATCGCTCTCTGGATTAATTGGTTGATCATGAACAATGGCAAGTAAACCTGTAAGCCTGTAAATATGAATTAACACTTCTCTGTAATGAAAGTTCCTGTGTTAAGAGAAATAGAGAGCTTCATAATTCAGCTAATTGAAATGTATAATGAGACAGTGCAGCTCACTGTAAATTTACAGAGTTTAACCAATTTGGATCAAGGCTTCAGTGATTTTAGTGCGCTGGAATTGCAACTTGAAATTACTGTTTTAGTGAAGCATTCACTGGTATAATGCAACCACCTGGAACAACCTTTTGTTTAACTGTTTTTGATTTAGAAATGGGTTTGGAAGTTACAATTAATATTTGGACTGCCCTTCATTGCTTTGCTGTGCATTGAGCAGATCAGGTTCTTTTCATAGGATATTAAAGTGATGGTGTACATCAGCATTAGCATCAGATTGACTTCCTTACTGATTGTATATGATTTCATTCATTGATAAGAGAAAAGTGAACAGCCAATATGAATATTTTTTTCCAGCACCTACTTAATAATGCAAAGAAGGATAGTTTTCTGTGGCTATGTGACTGTCTTTTATCCCACAGGACTAAGCTTCCAGTCACAATAGTGCTGTATTTCTTCAACAAAGAAATACCTGAATGCAGCTGGTTGGCAGTGGCATTCAGCTTTTGCAGACAGGGCTTTTATAAGTGCACTTATTCTGGTTTATCCACAGAATATTATGGAGGGCCCCCAAAAAAGTCATCTTCCATTTGTAATAATTTTCCCACTGCTTCCTCCAGTTTTTTTTTCTTTCCACAACAAGGAGAAAAAGATGCACTAACTCTGCTATGCCTTTTGATTGGTAGCGGTGGGAGCTGTCTGTCCGGAGGCATCCATCATATGATTTTTTTGTAGCAAGTGAACAAAGAATGGTGATTCCAGACTAAGTGCTGGTATGGAAGCAGCCTCTGCTACAGAGTGTTTCACTAGTCGAATAATGTGTCTTCGGAACTGTCCAAATTTACCAAATGTATTTAAAATGTTAAAAAGAGGAAAGGGAACTATAACTTCTTTACTCCTTCTGTATGTTGTCTTGCTAACCCCTATTCAGAATAATATTGATGCAAGTGTTTTTCCCCACCCTAGGACAAGCAGGGAATTCCTTGGTGGTTAGGACTTAGCTACAAGGGGATCTTTCAGTATGACTATCATGACAAAGTAAAACCAAGAAAGGTAAGCTGTTCTGTAAACTGAGACATCCTATCTTGGAAATGATCAGCAAAAAAATGTGTAGTACTAATTTTTCAGAGGTAAAAACAGAGAGGCAAGAACCTGAGTACTCCCTAATTTATTGATGTTTGCTGCAGTGGTGGAAAGGTGAGCAGGCTAGTGTAGTGTTATCAAATGCCAGAACTGAAACTGTCTTCATTTCATAAGGACCATTTCCTCAAAGGTATCAAAGAAAGGGTTTGAATTAGAGACCAATATTTAATGTGTTAGTGTTGTGCTACAGGTTTATAGTCAGTTTTAAAGAAGACATAATGGGGGAAAAGACAGGTAGTACCTAGTGCCAGTTTGTTTGTTGGTATCAGCAGCATTTGACATTGCTTGGGTATTCAAATGCCTGAACACTGTCTCCAGGATGTTAGCACCCATATATGAAAGTATGAACTACCATATCGGGAATAGTCTTCATTATATAATGGTACCTCAGCTCACGAACGCGTCAGTTCACGACAAAATCAGGTCGCGAACAGAAATTTCATAAAAAGTTTGCTGCAGGTTGCGAACTCTGCATCAGTGATTATCGCGAACGCGCCCGTCCGATCGCGGTCATGCTGGGCGGGGGCGGGGAGATGACTGCCCACCTCCCCCCCACACACACACAATCGCTGGGGTTGGGGCGGGGGAGATGGCCTCGATCTTTGTTGCTGTTTGTCACTTTGCTTCACATTTTTGTGAGTAAAAAAAATAGTTGCAGAATGGATTAACCTTATTTACATTGACCCTTATGGGGAAATTTGACTTGGCTCACAACCAGTTTGGGTCATGACCAGAGTCCTGGAACGGATTAAGTTCGTGAGCAAGGTACCACTGTAGTTTTGTGTATGAACCTGTTTTCCAGAAAGCAGTGTTGTCTTTGAGTGCATGTGCTCAAATATGCAGGCATGGATAAAATACCTGTTGTGCATACAAGATTTCAACAGCCTCTCACATGGTTTGGATGAGATAAGTGGCCTCCAATTCCCTCCTCAATATGACTTCATACTACCCACCCTTCCTCGCCATCTAATCCAAGTGAAACTTCCTTTCACCTTTGCCCACTGAAGTTTTTCCCCAAACTGGTGACCAAATGAAGGCACTGCATAATTGGTATCTTACTGTGTTATCCCTGAACTATTCCAAATGATGGATTAAAAGGGTGAGAGAGAAACAAGTTGCATTTTTATACTCCTTCATTTTAGCAAAGGTAGTGGAGTGTTGGGACTCACCATCAGCCTTTGTAGGCTAGCCATTGGGTACTTGGAGAGGAAGATCTGTTGCAGTCCAAGGGTGAATGGATGCTTAGGAGTATTTTCATCAGAGCTGATCTGACACAATGAGCAGGAAAATGACTGATGCAAAAGAATGCAAGAAAAGCAGAGATTCTCCAGAAAGTGGGGAAAGATGTCATTGACTACACCCGCCCCAAAAAATCAGGAAAATAAAATCTGGGGCAGAGGGTAAATGTGTCCCCTCCTATCCCAATTTTCCCAGATGCAGCCTCTTCCCATTATTCTGTTTGCCTATACAGCATGGACAAAGATTTTCAATCAGAAAAGCCCTTGATGAAGGAAGATACCTCCCACTGCCCCTACCCTATCCCATATACACCAAGAAACGAAGCAGAACATTTAATTCTGGACTAGGGCACCAATACAGTTCCAGTTGACCCTGTTTTCCCTATGGCCAAGAAGGCCTCACATCTCCTGTTGGTTGGTACTCCCGTTGGATTTGCATAATCGTTGCATTTATTTGAAAGTTTGAATTAAAGACCTTTGAGCTTCCTTTCAAAATTAGTTACAAATGTCTGTCATTCTGTGAGATTGTGTGTCTGTGTGGAAATCTGATTTCTATACTCCTACGTGATTTATTTTGAAAATGCAAATAATAGCTTTCAACATTTGAGTGGCAGAGTTTTATTTTAGGATGGGTTCCAGGACAGAGAATGCAGAGCAGACATTAGCAGTGCTGAGTGGCACATTAGCTTATGGAAACGTTATCACTGTGTTGCAAAACATTTCTGCTGTTGTTGCATTTGTGGGGCCAAATTACTCTGAATGTACGGAAGCATGTTGCAGATAAATTGATCTTTGTACACAGGGGAGTGGTTTTATAGCAACCCGCATGGCATTTTTGTGATTGTAAATTAGTATATATGTTACTGTAAAAGCAGTATTTCCTGGCAAGATGATGTATCTATTTTCCAAGGATGATAAGCTGCAAAATGTGTTTCTAACATTTGATGTTTCCACTTTTATTTTTGCACACTGGACCTATTGGGAAGAGTTAAGATCTTTTTGATTCCACAAATACTTACCAATTATGTGTATTACTACCCTTCCTCTGAAGAGAAAAGGTGGTCATACATGGGATTATCCAGTTTTGTCCTCAAAACAAACAAACCTGCCCCCCAACCACTCATTGAGCTCCAAGGCTGAGCAGGCATTTGATTCCAGTTCTCGTCAGCCATCCTGTCTGCTTACACCTCTGACCAAATAATCCAGTGTCAAACGTATAGCACTGGCAAGATACTCTTTTCAGTCACAACTCTGTGAGACTGTTGCCTGATGGATGGAGGAGTCCATTATTGGAACCTTGTACCTTCCTTCGCCTTGACAAGAAAGCCATGGAAGAGAGGCTTTTACAGCCTAGCCATCTTCAGTTGCAATGGACCTCTGACCATTCCTAGTTGCTGCATGCAGACCAAGTTGGGGCTGAAAAGCAGGCATTTTTGTTCTTATTTAGGACGTACGTGTCAGTTTTAAACCCTAACCTGGAAGCAAATTCCCCTTGGACTGGATTGCTCCAGACAGCTATTTCTAGAGGCTTGGTGGGTCACCTTTAAAGATAACCTGATTCAGCATTTGAAAATGACGATGTAGCAAAGTGTTCAGGTGTTGAAGAACTCAGTGACTTTGTCCACTGCTTCTTAATGCTAATAATTCCTACTATTACCCATCTAGTATCTAGACTGGATAATACCAGAGTCACCTCTGGATCCTTAGATAGCACAATAGGTTACTGATTCACAACCCCCTCCCATCACTGAATTCAAGCACTGGTTAAAGTATACTCTTCTCCTCCCCCTCTGGGTTTAGAGAAGCAGGAAGCCACAATGCAGCCATGCAGTGATTAATACACTAAATGCAAAACCCTCTCTTCTGAAACTTTTATCCAATTTGCCCCTTTAACAGACTGGCTAAGTGCAGGATCCATGAGTGGGAAGGGCTGTGATTAATTATACACCACAGATTTCTGGTTCTTAATCCTTTAAATTACTCTTGATGGAGGATGTTTACTCCTTCTGCGTGATTTGGATAGACAAGAAGAGTGTCTACCGCAGCCTTCTCCAATGTGGTACCCTGAAAATGTTTTGGACTGTAACTACCATCAGTACCTGTCATTTTGGCCAATGGTCAGAGCTGGTGGGAATTGTAGTCAAACAACATCTGGAGGAAGTATACTCTATGGGGGAAAATTCAGTCTGGAAGCTTAGGAGTAGGAAACGGAATAGTATTTCTAGAGTGTGGGAGTGAGGAATCCTTGGATGATAATATTCTTTTGATCTGAAAATGGTTACACTCAGAGCAGCCATTTCTGTCTCAAAAGTGAAAATATATGGCCTTTAAAATGACTGCTGTACAAAAACCTTAGCAGTACCTCCATTGCCTTGGTATCCAGGTATCTCTCAAGAACTGATAATGGCAAAGACTGGCTCCTGCTTTCCGCATTTAGAGGGGGATGAAAGTATTGGAGAATATTAATTTATTTATTTATACATACATACATTTCTATGCCACCCCCATTGCAACAAAGCCTCGGGGCAGCTCATATTCTGCCATGGAAATAATGCAAAGACACTTTAGAATGGAGACCACACATCGTTTCATTTTTCTCAGTCTTGCTGATTTAGCTTCTACTCATTACCAGGACTGAAAATTAATAGAAAAATTACAGTGGGAAAAAATAATCAAAGCAGAAAATCGTGGCACAAAAACAGCCCAAACTGAGAAATGTATAAGCATAAAGTCCTTTCTTCTCTCGAAAATGATTTGACAGAATATTTCTTTTCCCATTAGGTCATCATAGACAGTTTTCAATGCCTATTGTGCTTGCTACACTAACTAGCTGAACCTTGTATCATACAATTGCATCACTATGCAGTCAAAAACAACCTTTTATTAAATTGCTCCAGCAATTTGGCCGGAACCCTGCTGAATTCTGTCTGCTTTTTTTATGATAAGGAGTTGGGCAGTTTGCGCGCTCACATTATAGAATCCTATTTGCAGCCATTTAAATTCTGAGTTATTCCACTAATGTTACCGGAAGTGCAATTGGGCTCTTAATATGAGAAGCAGGAGAGAGAGAATTTAATTAGAATGTAGCTTCTAGAAGCCATGAGCTGTACACATTCAGAAGGAGTATTGTCTGTGCGTTAACTGACTAATATGTTAAAATGGAGGTAAGCTTGAATTTCAGATTGTATGGGTCCCCCTTACTTTGAATAAATCCTAGTTTTTAAAGCATGGATCTTGCGAGTAGGCATTGATGAACATCTGGCCATTTCCATAACTGTTCAAATTTGGAAATGTGTAATGAGCAGTAGGGCAACACTAAAATTACCATTTCGTGTTCTCCCTTTGCTGCATAGGGAAAAACACATGGCAAACTTTAGAGAGTGTCTCCCTGTTGTACCGGTTGAGTTGGTAAAGAAGCAAATACACGATCAGTTCTCTCAAGTAAAGTGAAGGATATGACTCACATTCAAGATGCTTGAAAAACTAGCCAGTCATCAGTACCTGTAGTTTCCCCTGCCAGTCACCAAGTGCAAGGCAAACAGCTTCGTTCGCAGCACTGTCAGCTAACCATGCAGGGTTGAGTACCAGTTTTTTTTAACATCAAACTATTTCTTTCACACCCACACTTAAGAATGGCCTATAAACCTCTGCCACTGTAGATTTTTACTACCT